GGTTGTAACTTACTTTAATATTTATTGCTCTTAAAACATTGCTTAGCATAAAGTATGTTATTTTTTCCCCCACATTTTATTGATTCACAAAATACCTTAAACTAAAAATATAGACAAAGCTATAATCTAGTTACAAGTACACTGTAATTTTCTTCTGAAACGTTTTTTAAAAATTAATTAATTTACATTCATTCCCTGAGCATGGTCACAGCATACAAAATGTGATTTCCCATCCAGAATATACTGCATAGTGGCTTAATCATGCATGTTATCATCAATAATTTTCCATTTCTAGTTTCATATATATATATATATATATACACACACACATATATATATATATATTTTACCCCTATTTCTGACCCTCTGCCATTTTCCACCCTCCTCCCACACTATCTCAGGTGTCTACAGTTGTTTTCCATTCTTTTTCCCCCATATTTTATTGATTCACAAAAATTTTAAAATAATCTAACTACTTTCAATAGCAAGTTCAGCTGGTATGTACATATCTGTGAATACATGTCTGACTTTAGGTGTGAAACTCTGAGTAGAATGAATTTAAGTTAGCACCTAGCTGATGCTATATAGCTTACTATAGTCATTAAAAGGTATTTTTTGATATATTTTTTAATTTCAAGAAAAGCAATTTTAACATTAATAAATCAAAGACATGCTAAGGAACTTTGCTTAAAACTTAAAACCAGGAAGCAGGTTAGGATTGTATTTAAATAGTAGATACATGAACCTATCGTCAGCTCAAGACAGAGCATTGTTCTTAACATGTTTGATGAGCTGAATTCTGCATGGTTCCGTATGTCTCTATTTCTTTTTTTTTTTTAATTATTTATTTCTTTTTATTTGTTGTTCTTATTTTTTAAATTTGACTAGAGAGTCAGAGAGAGAAAGAGAGAGAAAGGGAAAGTGAGAAAGCAAGCCACCTGATTGGGGGCTCAAATGTGGTTGGCCCTGTGGGATTCCAGCACCTTAACCACCATGCCACCTGTCAGCCCCATGTATCCTCTCCATTTCTATCTTACTGTCAGGAAGACTTTTCTAAGTCTATATTAGTCTTTCAGTAAGTTAAAAAAAGATTTTTTTATTTTATTTGTTATTTATTTTTAAATTTTATCAGAGAGAGACAGAGAGAAAGAGAGAGAAAGAAAGGGAAGGTGAGAAAGCAAGCCACCTGATTGGGGGCTCAAATGTGGTTGGCCCTGTGGGATTCCAGCACCTTAACCACCACGCCATCTGACAGCCCCCTTACAGTAACTTCTGATTAAATAGGAATACAGTATAAATCATACTCATCATAATCAAGCTGTAACTGACCTTTACAGCTTCTTTTCCTGTAATGCCCTGACTATTATTATTTTTGGAGCCATATCACCACTTGTAGTACCTGGAATCCTGGAATGTACCACACATTCCATTACTTATGAGTTGTTGTGTTTTTTGTTTTTGTTTTGTTTTATTTCTGCCATAGAGCACATGTGCTCACTAGACGGCAGAAAGAGAGAGAGAATAAAATGAGAAATCACTCCCCAGGAGGGATGGCCATGCCACAATCCCTGGTCCCTCATTCTTCTTTTGAGATTCTGGGCATACATGCACATGTACCCAGTGTGATTTTCAAGCCACCAGGTCTGGGGCTCAAACCATGCTTGGCCATATGGGAATCCAGCACATTAACCACTACGCTACCTGATGGCCCTCTTAGTTTTTAAATATATACTGCTCCCTTTGCTTGTAGGAGCCTTCTTCCCTGATTTACCAAACATGTTCTAATCTTAGCCCAGATGTTGTCTCATATTGAGCTTATGACCTGATCCTCACGGGATGGGTTAGGCACCTCTTCTTTGTGCTTTTATATCATCCTGTACTTCTGAGTAGCATTTGCTATGTCTATAGTAATTACAGATCTTCTTCTATGCCAATCTACTTAAACTGAACAATGAGATTTATGATTTATGATGAATGTCTACTTTGTAGAGTTTAGAATTTTGGTTAACAGAGGATGTCCATGTGACCACTCCACAATTTTATATAAAACAACTCCTTGACACAATTTCAAATAGAGTTACCTACTCAGAAACACTGCAAGTATGTGACTGAAATTTTGAATTTTTGAAACTGGAAAGAAGGTACATAGGAAGACTAAACATGAATTACTCTAGACTTCTACGACTGTCTTTTTCCATCAGTGACCTGTTCATGTATCTTTACCAGGTTGCCATAATAAATTTCGCTGTATGACTGTATGCTGAGTTCAACTCTAGAGAAGCAGAATGAGTAGATAGACTTGTGGATCTCTGAAACACTAAGTAATGGTATTAAACAAGGAAACAACTCTATCATCATCACTTCACAAAAGCTTATGTTAATACAGTTCTGCTCTTTGCTCTGATAATACAGAAAGATGGAGTATAATATCAGAATGAAGGGCAGAATTTTAAATAAAATCAATATAGCATGATGAAAAGTTCATTATCTTATTCATATTTTTCTCATTTTGTTACAGATCATTTATTATTTCATCAATAGTCAACAGACATGTACTTAGGAACTACCAGTCTAAGAATTTTTGCTTGAATATACCTTTTCTCTAATTTACTTTTTCCTTTTTTGAAAGTGAAATTTTATGTGTAAAGAAATCGTTTTTTTAAAGATATTTTTGCTATAGGGCACATGCGCTCACCAGAAAGATAGAGATAGATAGAGAGATAGAAAGACCTACTCAGAAACACTGCAAGTATGTGACTGAAATTTTGAATTTTTGAAACTGGAAAGAAGGTACATAGGAAGACTAAACATGAATTACTCTAGACTTCTACGACTGTCTTTTTCCATCAGTGACCTGTTCATGTATCTTTACCAGGTTGCCATAATAAATTTCGCTGTATGACTGTATGCTGAGTTCAACTCTAGAGAAGCAGAATGAGTAGATAGACTTGTGGATCTCTGAAACACTAAGTAATGGTATTAAACAAGGAAACAACTCTATCATCATCACTTCACAAAAGCTTATGTTAATACAGTTCTGCTCTTTGCTCTGATAATACAGAAAGATGGAGTATAATATCAGAATGAAGGGCAGAATTTTAAATAAAATCAATATAGCATGATGAAAAGTTCATTATCTTATTCATATTTTTCTCATTTTGTTACAGATCATTTATTATTTCATCAATAGTCAACAGACATGTACTTAGGAACTACCAGTCTAAGAATTTTTGCTTGAATATACCTTTTCTCTAATTTACTTTTTCCTTTTTTGAAAGTGAAATTTTATGTGTAAAGAAATCGTTTTTTTAAAGATATTTTTGCTATAGGGCACATGCGCTCACCAGAAAGATAGAGATAGATAGAGAGATAGAAAGCAAGAAATCACCCCCTGGGGGAATGACCATGACACAGTCTTTTCTTCTCCACTCCTTTCTTGGATTTTGGCATTCACGCACAAGCGCCTAGCATGAATTTTAAGCCATCGGGTCCAGGTCTCACACTGTGGTTGACTATATGGGAATTCAACAATGTAATTGTTACGGCACCTGCTAGTCCCCTATAGGAATAATTTTAAGAAGCTGATACTTTTGGGCCAATCCATGGAGTAGGGGTCAGCGCAGCTGGATCTCACATGGCTGACCCTACAGTTTGAGTCCTAGACCCAGCAGCTTGGGATACACACTGCGACATGTGTGCCCAAAGTTCTGAGGGGAGGACAGGTAAAGGAGAGGGGACTGCAGTGTGACCATCCCTGACTATGGAAGTGTAAGTATCCTCTGGCAAAATTAAATAAAAAAAAAAAGATGAAACTTTTATTAAGTTCATTAAAGATTTCACTGAAATACTTTTTAAAGTATCATAAAGAATGGAAGAGTTATAAATTAATAACAAATTTTATTCCAAAATATTTTAATATGAATATAGTCTTTCTGACTGACAAATAACAATACATAAAAAATTTAAAAATCACAATTAGTTGAGATAGTGATACTTCTAATTTTCTTTTTAAAAATAATTATGTATTTATTTGATTTATTCATTCATTTCATTTGACTAGAGAGAGAGAGAGAGAGAGAGAGAGAGAGAGAGAGAAAGTGAGAAAGGAAGCC